TTATGACTTGTATTATTAAAGACTTCACAACTAAGATGAGGTCTGTGTTATGATTGACTCATAACTATTAGGTAATGAACAATCTTCATCATCAACAAAAAAAGCAAGAAAAGTCTTGCTAGGAGTTGTGTTTCTCTGGATTTATCATGTATGGGTTTAAGAAAAAGGTTAATATTTATTTTAATCAGGCTATACAACACTTTTTCCCAAAATAAAATGTCACTATTTTCACTTAGAATCATTTAGTATCAGTTAATATCAGAAGTGGTGGGACAACAGATATACGTGGGCCTGTTTTAGCTATATTTGGTGTCAGTGATGATGCAGAACTATCTAAAAATCAAAGTACAGTGATTAGATTTATAAGCATTTTAGCACGTAGATTGATTTTACTGAATTAGAAACGAAAAGATCCTCCCCACTGCTCTACATTCATAAAACATGTCATGTCCTGCCTATAATTTGAGAAGCTCAGACTTTCCCTCAAAATAAAACTAAGAATTTCTATGTAATACGTATGGTCAAACAGAATCGGCAGACATTTTTTGCTATTTCTGTGGACAATTTTGTAAAAAATCTGTAGATTTATGCGGAATGATTTTTTGGAGCATCATAACTAAAAACTTAATATATAAAAATAAAAATAATAAATTTTTTACTTGTATTTATTGTTTACAATGCAAATCCATCTAGATCCACTTATTTGTTAAACAAAGCAAGTCTCTCTTATAATATATCTACAAAAAGACAGAAAATTTTACTTTACAAACTTTTTTGTAAATAAAACATCTAAATATTTTAATATTACCATTATTAGTTCACTATAGTATTAATGAAATTAATTTAAAAACTGAATCAATTTAAATTTACACACATTTACACAAGTAAATAAATAGACTTAGCCTTTAAAAACAATCCCTGTAACTCCCAGTTATGATGATTAAAAATTGTATTTGCTTTATTTCAGCACACAGTCTCACCTTTAGTAAAGCAACGCAGCTCCAAACAGGCTGTGAGGTTACGCTCAGGTGAGAGTTCACAGCTTGAACGGCTCGATCCAACAGTGTCTGCTCCATTACTAAATCCGGACTCCCAAACGTCTGCTCGAACCACGCTCCTCCCATCATCACCTTCACACAAACAGCAGAGCTCTGATTACACTAGAAAGCACCACCATTCACATAAATGGCCTCTGTGATGATAACGGCTGAAATCGTCTTCATAACATCCACTCACAGGACTGATTTCATCCCAGAGGGAATAACATTATGTCATTCGCTTTTCAAATGATATTTCAGCTCCTCTAATGGCACTCGGATTCAAGAAGTTTCTGGGTTCACAACTATATAGATGTTTTCGAGCAGGGAAAAAAACAACATGTTCTCAGCAAAGGACATCTAACTTGTAAATTATTAATGATTTAAGTGGGGGAGAAATGAATAATGCAATAGCAATTTTTGTTGTTGTGAGGGCCACGTAGCACCGAAGGCTATTTTTATTACTGCATATAATAAGTTCCTGATGGGAAAACGGGGATGAATTCCTGTCAGAGACACGCAAATCGCTGTTGGGGCTACTGGTTCAGAAACGCATCTCTCCAGAGCAGATTAGACATTCAGGTCATCAGGTTCATTTCCTAAAAGACTTTATGTTTTTTTATTTCATTTGTCTTAATTAATTTTATTATTGCTCCCATATTAGGTACAAAATAACATTTTAAATTGCTATACTTATGTATTTACGTGTGGAATGTCAAGTGAATGCACTGCTTAAAAGTTTAGGGTTGGTAAGATATTTTTTTTAATGTTTTTTAAAAGTAATCTGCTCACCAAGTCATCATGGATTATGAATGCTAGAATGAAAAATAAAAATATAAAAATGTGTTGTAATTAAATGGGTTTTAAAATGTATTCCTGTCATGCAAAGCTGATTTTTCAAAGTCACTGCTTCAGTCTTCAATGTCACATGATCCTTCAGAAACTATTATAATATGCTTAAATTGCAGCTCTAAAAATAAATCTTAAAGGGCATCTTTGATGAAAATCCTCATTTGTAAGCTGTTTGGACAGAACTGTGTGTGGGTATAGTGTGTCCAAAGTCATATTGGGGTGATATAAAGACAATAAGTCTTTTTTTTTTTTTCCCTGACATTAAACAGTATCCAAATGCCTCCTATTTTAAGGCCCACCGCAGCGTGACGTAGGAGTACGGTTTACCGCCCACCGAATTGATTCACAGTCTCTGTAGTAAAGTGTATAATCATAACAAGACAGGGCATGCGCAAAGCAACCAGGATTAAAAGATCTGTTAAGCCCGCTGTGATCATCAATCGTCATCAAATGTGAGTTTTAGATGTTTAAAACTTTTTTTTTAAAAAGTGCATGTTTGTAATAATGACGTTAAACGTAATAAGACGTTAAAATTAATCATTGTATGTCAATACAATTATAAAAGAAGATTAAATTAAATCAGGTTTATTTTGTACATTAACAGAACGGAT